ACGATCCTCTGAACGAACTCGATAACGATAGTGACGCTGAGCCTGCCGAGGAGTGGGGTGGCATCAACGACGACGCTGATGCAACCGATGTTGTCAAGACTCTCCTAGAGCAGAGCAAACAGCCTGACCTTCCCAAGAAGAGGCATCAGAGTACGCGGGAGAAGGAATGGTTGGAGAAGCTCGTGGCCAAGTATGGCGACGATACAGCGGCTATGGCCAGGGACCGAAAGTTGAACCCCATGCAACAGACCGCAGCTGATATCGCCAGGCGAATCCGCAAGATGAACAAGGAGTAGAAGCGAGATGCACGAAAGAAGAGCAGGGCTTTGGGGGTGAATGAGACGGAGTCACTAAATCATCAAGTATGGAGCATCAAAACTGGCTTAAGAACAGAAGGCGTTGGGAGTTGGATTCGAGCATCTTGACATATAAGACGCCGTATACTTTTCATTCACACGGCCAACCTTTTATACTGTCCAAAATATAGAATAACCACAAGCATGAGAGAATCCAAAGTGCCTTGTATATATATGTGTGTGCATGGGTTGCAACGTCTAAGTTAGATCATACGCAGCCAAAGGCCTCAACCATCTCCCTAAGTTGTCACCGCGAAAGTCAAGACGCCGTTAAACGCCCCTCCTCGACCAGAGGCGTTATCTACCGTACAAAACATGTGAACCCCGCATCCCAGACGCAGTTTCCCAGGCTATTATTCCACACCCAATCAAATTGAACACCGTTTGCATAAAAAAGAGACCGATATATCCTTTCTTTCGTTCATCACGCTGTTGCTACTTAGTGCCCCCTATCGTAGTTGCCGGCAGGGAATTGTGCGGGAACATCCTCATAAGGATGGCCACCTGTTGGGTTGGCGTAGCTGGCTGGCATTGATGGAGGAGCACCGCCGGAGTGGTATTCGGTGTCGTTGTCGAAGAAGGTGTTGTTTCGAGGGGGGAGGGCACCAAAACGATCGGGATCCTCGTCATCGGCGCTATAGGGGTTGGCATCACCATAGCGAGAGTGGCTGTTGTAGCTATTGTTGTTGTAGCCACCGCCGTAGGCACTGCCCGATGGTTCCTGATCGTCCATGTCGACTCGCTCGTAAGCCTCATCGCCGTGAGGGGCCATGGAGAAAGCAGCCTTGTCAGGGTCGATGTTGTCACTGCCCATCTGGCGGTTGTCGTAACCTGGCAGGATGTTGTGGTTGTTGTAGTAGTTGAGGGTAAATGCGGAAACAAAAGTTGAACCAGCGAAGAGGAGGCTACAGGAAGTTAGTGAATATTCAGCATAGGTCGAGTTGAAGCACATACGTTACCAGAACACCACAGCCGACAACACCCTTGCTGATGCCGCAGGCCTTTCCGCATTGACCAGCGGCGTTGTAGGCAGCCTGAGTAGCAAAGGCAGATAGCCATATAACTGTGAAGGCAGCGTCAACAGCAAGCATGGCATGGGGTTGAGCAAAGCGACGAGTACGACCCCATCGGGGAGTCATGATGAGGAAGATCCATGCGGGGACAGAAAGGAAACACTGTAGATATCGTTAGCTCCCCATACAGATTGTGAAATAGCCGTCGAAAGGTTGACGTACCACTGCGAATGCCCAGCCATTCCTCCCAGTGACCTCTGCATCCTTTGCATTGAAAACACCAATCTGCAAACACCATGCGACCAGAGATATGATGATCTGGAAAGAGTGAAGGCCCAGTTTCAGGTTGGGGACGATGTCGGGGTCGATTTCAAACCGCATATTGGAGGCTGATGTGAAGACTTTCGAGATATGTAGGAGGGAAGATGGGGAGAAGATTCGAGAAAGCAATCCGCTCGTTGATAAAGCCAAAAATCAGGCTGCGAAAGTATGTATGTGTCTTGCTTGCTGGCTTTTCAGCTGAAATCGCAATGGCTTATGTCGTCTCAAGCCAAGATGAATCGGATCGTCGTCAATGCCTCTAAAGAGATGAACTCGCTAGTATGGGTCAGATGGAAAATGCAGAAAAAAGACACAAACAAAGAGCGTTATCGTTAGGGATTTGAAGATGTATGTATGCATAGAAACGATGTTGTTTTGTGTTGACAAAGGGTCAAGTCGTTAGTCTAGTGGACGATTGGGGTGAGTGCGAATTAAGTTCAATGGCCAACTTGGAAACCGAACCCTGACGAAACAGGTTCCAGCTCTACCTAAGGTACTCAGGTTCCCTGGCCAGCGGGACCTCCTCCAGCATGACGCCCGCCTAGGCCGGGGCAGGCCTGAGCCTAAGCCTAAGCCTAAGCCTCCACTGGCTGGCCACGCGTTGCTAGACGCAACAGCGCTGCAGTGGGTGACAGGGCTGTTCGATGTGGCTGTGTGGCTTTGTATATTCTCTCTAATGGAATCAATAACTTGAGTCGTTGTCTAGATTATCGACTAATTCATCGACCATGTTCAGGGCTAAATTCAGGGGCTCAATACCCCTAAGTAAGACTCGACAAGTTCTGCGTTACAGTCAAAGATGCCTTGTGGAATTTACTGTATGCCCACTTACCTCAAGGACTCGCCAAGGCATTATGGACACATCCATACATCAATGCCACAGCTGCGCCACTTGAGAAGAATTTAGGGGACCACAGTGAATAGAGGTCAACACCAATTAAACGCACTGGATTCCGAAATCTGCATAGCGGTATCTAAATTTATGCTTCAGCTGGATTGACAGGCCTCGGCAGTTTCATCATCATTCCGACTTTTATATAATCTCCATCCGAAGCGATCTCTCTACATAGCAATCATGATTACCTTGGCCTCGAGTGGCCAGTGTTGCTAGCTGCTCTATAATCCAAGGGTTATTAGTTCATTAATGACCTGATAGATCTGATCTGACGAGGACACCAAAAATGACTGACGCCACGATCGTTACGCAGCTTTGTTGACTTTCATGACGTTGTTTATCCGGATGTTACGGATGCTTCGCTGTTGTTGCATTAGGTTGCTCGGCAGATGCATCTTGAACACGAGGTGAATGTGGCTCTTTACTCGTTCGACTCACATGACATGACATGAATCGAGGTGACTTGACGATACAATGCAAATTTTGACTCTGATCAACGTGTCACTGATAAAATGTCGCAATTACGCGACAGAGCCACAGCGGATCCCAACGGGGCTCAAGTCCAACCTAATCTGCCTGTGAAACGGTCACATCAACAAGGGTCTATTACCTCCGCCTATCATTTTCCACTGGCATGTATCAACATGGGAATAGCTTCAGTTTTGTCATTAAAAAATGGAATATCAAAAACCCGATCTTTCATTGTGGATAAATCAATGAAGGAAACTGGACGCATAGTTGCTTGTATCTTACCACAATTGCCGTCAATGTCTTTTACACAGAACCCTGGCAAGGTCTGATGAGTAGTGACTCGAATTAATCACTGGAAAATTACAGTCCTCGAGGATCCGCGCAGTAATATTACTCCGTCTCCAGAACTCGCTCCTCAAATCTGAATTGCAACATTAGCTTCTTCTTGTCTAGGTACCTTATGCACTGATATACCAGAAACAATTCCCAGTTCTCTGACTATGACTGCAACGTCTCTATCCCTTAGCTCATCTCGACCATAGGATCATAGCAATGGCGGAATGTTTGAAGATAAAAGAGCAGCCTTCCTGTCGGACAAGCTGGTACTAGACCTTTATCGTATTTTTGCCACGAGAAAGAAGAACAAGACAACTCTACTAATGATATGATCCTTCAATTTGTTTTCTGGCGACTCTTGAGCCCAGAAGTCAGTGTCAGTCTGCATGTAATCAATGCGATGTATGCCTCGCAAACGGAAAGGATACACAGGAATGAGGCACAAAATCCATGCCCGTAAAGAGCAGATTTTATGACTTGAACGTCACCACTATCAGAGTCTCCGTGACAAAACCTGCTGCCACTACTGTGAAGAAGGCTCACTTTACCTAATTTGACAGCTCAGTTGACACATCTGTGGTATTTGCTCCATGCAAAGCAGCATGAGCATCACTTATTACTCATGTGCCCTCCTGATCTTATAGTAAACGAGATTCTGCGGCCCTCTATGAGAAACCCGCTTACTCTCATCATTCCCGAGAAGTTTGACTACAAAAGACTAAGGAGGGGTGTTTACGATTTTAGCCAGGAGTGTGTTCCCGTACCTTACTCGAACTTGGCTATGCCTGAAACAACTCATCCTGAAGAAGCCTCTGTCGTGGGTGTCGTGTGGTCGGTCCGTAGTTGCTGCACTTATCTTTGACGCAATGCTGTTGAGGGCGAGTTGAGCCTCTCGTATGTTGGGAAGAGGTTTCAAGATGGAAGTGTTGATCCTGTCTCACGATGCCCTCATTTGTCTTGAACTAACTTACAAACGGATGCTAAGCTCACCAAAGAATAGACATCACCAAACTCAACAACCCCTCAGAAGAAAGGTTTTCTGGACTTGGCACAAGGTTGGTCTTTGTGCTTCTGTGTAACCACCTCAGAAGAGTCTCCAGTCTCCAATGAGAGTGAGACTTTGAGGCTTTCCTCCGTGTATACGGTGTATTCGCACTGAAGTTTATCAGATCTGCATCACATTACTGAAAGCCTTCGCGCCAAGCTCAGTATGGCAATGGCTTCAGGGCAGGGAATCCGTCATAACTTAATCGGAAGGAAACATATCACATTCTCTCCGATGTGCTCGATTCCATCTGACCAAGCAAGGCACGCCAACCACATCAAGCCTCCTTCCAGCATCACAAGTGTGTTCTTAAAGTACATTTAATTCTTATTCATTGGGGGGGTATCTAGCTAATATTTTGACTATTCTACTTTCCTCCAAATGGCGTCTTGTACGCTTTGGTGGTATCCTGTTCTCCCATAGTTGGCCGTGGTTATCATTATTAAATGGATAAAAGAAACGTTTCCGAATATGGATGAGTTATGCAACGCCGGCGCTGGATGCATTCCTGAAAATCTTCCTCATTTTTTTGTTCTTTTGCCCTTGTTGTTTTATTGGCTGTTCTATAACAGAAGTGCGATAGGCACGAGCACAGCTATAGCAACACCGGCTGGTGGATGTTTGCTAGCTGCTGCACCATCAACATCTTTCGATGGAGCTGCTTCAACTGCGTCAAACCTCATCTTGGCGTAGCTGTTGGTATGCCTGGATGGTTTTCCAGGTGTCTTGGACTCGGCGTTTCTGGCAACAGGGCCAGATTTGCTTGCAAGACTGATCTTAACAAACTCGGCCATGTCTGGTCCCTGGCCACTATATTGAATGGCCTTGTGCTCAAGGACAGTGTTTTCAAGAGGCCTTACATCGTCCTCGCTTGAAGGAGAGTCGGTAGCTTCTGTATCAGCCACTTGAGTTCGTAATGTTGAAGGACGCTTCAAGGCAGTCTGGGCAGCTAGTGTTGCTGTGGGTACACTCTCTTGATATGGGGAGCCACCACGAGGATATGTCATGGTGGCAGTAACTGGCTCGTCACCGCAGATGCTGCAGGTCTCTACGCCAGAGGTGAAGCCATAAGGAACAGCAGTTGGTGTAGGATCAGCTGGCATAGCTGACATGCCCCTGTAGACTTCCTTGACTTGATAAGGGAACTTGGCGATGCCTGATGGTGAAAAGACATCGAGTGTTGTGGTGTATGTATTTGTGTAGGCACAGCCTGTGCAGAGACAATCCTGGCATTCAGGCATCTCAACAGTCCAGTACTTGTCAGCACCTTGTGTTGGCTCAGCCGGGCCGAAGCTGGTTTGAGTTGCACTGAAGCATTCTGTCATGGTGCGCGTAGTGTAAGTGTATCTCTGCGCAGCAGCCTGTGTCGACCACAGAGCACTGAGTAGAATAAAAAGATGCTTCATTATGAGGAAGAGAAAGGTTTTACTTGAATGAGTGAGTGAGACAGAGAAGCATGTGTGTGAGACAGGATCTACGGTAAATATCTATTCAGGGTCTCGAGAGCGCCCGCTGTTGGTTCCTTGCAGATTTTCCCCTGCATCACGGTAACTCTATCTCAGAGCCCATATCCGGTTCAACCAACAGCATCACACTTTTGTGAATTTGAATGTGACCCATCACATGGGGACCCTTCAGCCTCAGAGATCAAGGTCGGCCGCTTGGGTGAGGACAAGATCCATAAGCAGGCACACAGTAAGCCAAAATCTCCATCATGACCTACGAGATCTGGGATAAGGGCGCCAAAACTCTGTTTCGGGGAGTTTGTTACATAATGGGAGGCTGTCTGGGCGTATCAGGTGAAGCTATAACCACTCACAGAGCTTACAAAGCGTCAGTCCTGCCCGGATGAAGTGCTCCTGGGCAGACTCTCCTGGACACAACTCCGGACGATCACTGGAGACTAGACTATCTTGGCTCCCGTAACGGGCCGTAGATCGGTCAAAGGTTACACAGTGGCATTCTTTAGTGAGCCCACCATTTTGCTAATTCCGTCAAGTGTGGCGCCTGTCAAGATTCCCACTCGGAAGCTAAAATGATGCACTCACTGAACCCGTTGCTAATGGCCATAGCTCCTGAGGCTAGCACTAGAGCATTGCACAAAGTTAGAGTTGACTCAACGGTTCTCCAGCAGAGACAGAGCACACAAGAATCTTGGCAACCCCCCAAAAGCAGAAGTTTTGTCGTACGGATTGGGACATCCTGATCATATCATGACTTGGTAGTAGATCAGAGGCGAAATATGATGTTTTGATCAGCATTGAATATAAAAGACGGTACACAATAGTTGATCTTCATTCAAGGGACCAACAAACAGTACAGTCCAGGCAACGCCTCACTCTAATACTGTACCTTCTCGCCACTCTGCCCTACAGAAACAACGCTTGAGGAAATAACAGACGTTGTGCCATCGTTGTCCGTGCTTGACTTGACTTGAGTTGCCTTCACTTCAGCTCAGAGTCTAGCCCACGAATCTCTTTCCGAATCTGGCTACCTTCATCCTCCGAACAGCCTTTTAGCAGCATTTCTTAAAGACACCTCTTACACTCGAATAAACTTTACCATCAAGCGAGGTGGCTTTTCGGTGAAAGCGGCAAGGGTGGCGTTCCAGACCTCGACGTCTGAGACAGTGACTAGATCTAGACTCTCATTTCAGGACGCCGTATCAAGGACGACATAATTTTACAACAGACAGTAACTTAGCTTTTGCAGCAGATTATATGTCTATCAAGTCTTTAGCTATGGACAGTGCTCAAGCCATCTTACGATATATATTCCCATAGTAGACGGAAACTAATGGTTAGCTAGGCGACCATTCAGCGCTTCAACAAGTCCGTCGGCCGCCGTCTCTGAATATCTCGTGGCCAGGCGCTCTGTAGCTCTATGCCTACGTTATCTCCGGTTGAAATGCCCGCAAGCTTAGGAGCTTGGGCCGTAGTCTTTGTTGTGAATAACTCCGAAACTATCACCCAGTCCGTATAAGACACTGCCATATGACCCTCCAGCTGCACAACTCCAGGAATGCGAACCTCCACTGAACAGTATGTTATGATAAATACATCACTCTTGCACGATGTAAGCCGAGTTTAAGATATCCTGTCGTCCAATAGGGTTGGCTATCTTCTAGGTCACATCCTACAAAGCTTGGCCTTGAGGAATGGCCCCCAAAAGTGACAAAGTTAATTAGTGTCTCAAAACGGTTGTTTTCTGGCTTGCCAAGCTCGAACTGTGTAACACAAAGCCCCCAAAGGAGAATTTGAACTACATCGGTGTATGATCCAAGGTTTTAGGGGTGTAACAACCATCACGAGTTTCCATCTGCAACTCATGAGAGGCAAGCCTATGCATATTCTTATGAAGACATGACCAGGCAATACCCTTTATAGCGGAGTTCATTAGCCTATACTGAGGAATATAACGATATAATAAATATGATATTTGGCTAGGTGAGGTTATATCGTATCCGGAAAAGGGTGTATCGGTAGTAACTTGAGTGGTCGAGATCTATGTCTACCCCCTCGGATAAGATTCTCGACTCTGCCCGTATGAGCTCCAATCACGGATCTAGACCAACCTGAGGCTGGCTTAAGATCTGCCTTACCAAAGGTCTATATTCTGCATTACTTTATGCCGACTTTATGAGTATTCATAATGGTATCTTGAAATGACCCAAAGCTCTAGGCAGCAGAAGAAATTCAGAGCAATATGAGTATAGCGTCTTCGGCCGCTTTTCTCTCTCGGCGTAAGCTCTGAGGTGAGTTCCTGAACGTCAACCGAGACATTTTTGCTAGAGCTACCTATAACTTTTCCATCGCTGCACTCGGCCAGAGTGACCAGTCATGGTTTGAATCGAGCTAGATCTGATGGGGGTGATGAGGTATGAACTGTATAGAAATGTTTCATCTACGAAGCCATCCAGTGTTCAAGCTTGGGGTAGAAGATAAAAGTTTAGTGTTGATGGTTCTTGAAATCCAAAGACGAGGAATGCAGAGAGATCGATATGTTTGGAGACTTTAAGAAAGCTATCTTAAAAATCTCATGTCTTTTGAAAGAAGTTTAAACGGAAACTGTAGATGCTTCATTGATAGTACCGATCCCATTCAAGCTCTGGCTGAAACCTTGGCCCAGCGCTGTCAATACATTCAACTTTTGTGACATTATCCACAAATATCCGCGGTTTACTACATGTCTACCTATGATAGATCTTCAACCACTGCTTTAATCTATCCTTCCAGCATTTTCAATTTCTCTTTCTTCCGGTTCTTTCAACCCTCTTACGATATGATCCTCATTTACGAATCTGATTCACACGTAATCACCGTCTCTCAAGGGTCGAATGAAGGGTGTGCTGCCTCATGAGCGAGATGCACAGTAACCCAATGATAGCGAAGGCCAGAAGTGTAAGCCACACCCCCCTGAAGGCCTCTACAAAAGAGCCGATGACGCCGTCATACCATCCTTCAGGAAGATGCTTGATCTCATCCAGGTCATCTCTGATGCGTCGAATCTCATCTGCAGCTCCAGGCTCGGCACCGAATCTGTCCCAGAGTCTAGCTTTGAGGATGTTTTGGTACACAGCTGAGCCAATGGTAACCCCCACAGTACTGCCGAGGCTGCGTGCCAGATCTAAAGCTTATTAGCAATGCGAACTCAACAAAATACGTCTGATCAACTCACAGGTTGCAGAGGTGATGACAGCCTGCTGAGAGTGGTCAACAGCAGCAATGCATGCCAACAGCGTCGTTGTGAGGGTTGCGCCATATCCAGAACCGATCAAGAAGAAAGAAACTCCCATCAGCCACTTGGGACTATGCTCATTCTGGATTGTCAGAACCACAACTCCCGCAATCAGGAAGAGCAAGCCCACTACACCTAGTTTGGTGTATTTTCCAGTTCTCTTCATGATGAAGCCCGAAAGGAGAGATCCCACTGAGATGCCGATCGGGGATGGGAGAATCTGGATACCAGATTGCGTGGCACTACTGCCAAGAACCTGCAGGTACAGAGGAACATAGAAGAGCGCCCCCATTACCGCCATCGTACAGGCAAGATTGCATAGACAGGCGTTCAAGACAGTCCGGTCAAGAAGAAGCTTCACTGGTATGATTGGCTGGCGGGCCTTACTCTCCCAGAACAAGAATAAGCCAAATGTGATGAAAGCAAGGGGTATCGTGGTCAGCGGGAGAGGGTGAGTCCACGGCACAAGATTCCCGCCTGAGTTGAGGCCCAAGAGCAGAAACACCAAGAAAGAGGATGTCAAGAATGCTCCCATGAAGTCGATGCGTGCAAGGAACGACTTATCCGACTGCTTAGGGGGAACCCTGACCAAGAAATGAACTGCAACAGCAGAGACGAGTACCGGAGGCACTTGGATCAAGAAGGCAAGTCTCCAGCCCTGGGATGTGTGATCATTAATCAAGCCGCCAAACACACCACCCAGCATTGCACCAGATCCATAGCAGATGTTACCCAAGCCCTGGATAATGCCTCTCTTACGTAGAGGGACCAGGTCTGAGCCCAGGAACGTCGAGATGCTCATCAATCCACCACCTCCAATACCTGCGACGACGCGTCCTATGATCATGGTGGTCTGGTCACGGGCCAGACCACAAATCAGATTACCGGCTGCGAAGAATACATTGCTGAATACAAGACCCGGTCCTCGGCCAAAGATATCTGTTAACCGCCCTGAAATAGGTTGGCATGCGGCATTGGAGATGAGGTAAGCGGTTGCGAGCCATGACAACAAGCTGAGGGATTGGAACTCGCTCGAAATTGGTCCTGAGAGAGTCGCAATAATAGTAGAGTCGATGGCACCCAAGAAGACTCCGATCCACGCTGTACCAAAGATGAGAACCAACCGGCCAGTTGACACCTCCTCAGCAACAACGGTTGTCTCTTCCTCTTGTCCTGCTGGCAAGCCTCTATCAGGGTCATCTCCCTGAGCTTCACTTGGTGGTTCGGCATCTTGATTCTGAGATTGACTAGTAGACTTGAGCAATGGGGTTCGTTCATCGCCGAGTGCATTCGTGCCGTTTTCGGCCACGGCAGATGCTACGCTGCCGCTGGCAGATTCACGCATCGTCACTCTCGCCAAGCAATTGAGCAGAAGAGGAATCAATTGAAGAAAGACTTGGTGCGGGCGGTCAGAGCAGTTTCATGTATTCCCGTGTAAGACTTATGTGAGATGGAATTGAGGATTACTGACAAAAGGGCGTTGTTGATATATATCTGTGGTTACGATCGGCGACTATCGGCCTATCCGAGCAGCCGCTAGTATCCAAAATGGATAATCTTTCAATCGAGATAAGAGGAACCGGCCACCTCCAATTCACTAATACCCAAAGGGATGACGCGGGGATCAAGTAACCAATGACGTCTACGGCATTTCGAGAAAGGGTCCAGG